CACAAAACCAGTCAAAAGGGTAAATTTTTTCGAAATTGAGAGTTATATATCATCTGAAAGCTGAATAAATAAGCTTTCTATTGATGTATGGTTTGTTAGGATAGGACAATATTTGGCCGAGATACAACTATTTGAAAATCTGGAATCTGAGGGTGCAAAAAAATCTAAATATTGAGAAAATCATCTTTAAAGTTGTTCAAATGAAGTTCTTAGCAATGTATATTACTAATCAAAAATTAAGTTTTAATATATTTACAGTACGACATTTACAGAATATCTTCATGGAACATGATCTTTACTTAATATCCTAATGATTTTTGGCATAAAAGAAAAATCTATAATTTTGACCCATACAATGTATTGTTGGCTATTGCTACAAATATACCCCAGCGACTTAACACTGCTTTTGTGCTGCAGGGACACATTTCTCCTCAGCAACAGGAAGTGATGCGAGCAGCGTCAGGCGTCTCGCACGCAAACACATTACAGACAGACACCGGCTGCGGCACAATGCATTAAAAAAACAGTTCACCCAAAAATGAAAATTTACTCTTAATTTACTCACCCTCAGGCCATCCAAGATGTAGGTGACTTTTGTTCTTCAGTGGAACAGTAAAGAAGATTTTAGCTGAAACCGTGGTTTTTGGTGATTTATAAATGGCTACCGGCACTTTGAGAGTGAAAAACACATAAACAGGCAACACAAAACAAATCCCAGTGGCTCCTGATGATATAGTGAGGTCTTATGAAGCGAAACGATCAGTCTGTGCAAGAAACTGAACATTATTTACAGCATTATTACTGTAATCCAGAGCTTCAGACAAACGGTCCGGAGTGATGTCCTGTTCATGAACGAATCATTCTTTTGAACCGGTTCTTTTTTAGAGAACTATTTGAACCAGTTCATCTAATCGGACTGAATCGTCTGAATCAGTTCGTGTCTCGAGCAGCACAGATCTACAAGCTACTCAATCAGAACTCACTTTCAGACGCCTGACAGTCACTGCGACTGGAAATGAGCTGAAATAGCAGCGTATCTGATTCTGTGATGAATGAACTGATTCGGTTCCTCCAACAGACACTGAACTGAGCAAACGGTTCGACTCGGACTGAAGACTGATGAGCCGCTGATCTGTGCACGCGTGAACCGAGAGCTTGAATGAAGGGGAGAAATTAACGTTTTATGGTTTCTCAAGGTTTATGTAAAAAGGTGAGTTGATTAAGACTAGTTTATTCACTTTATATGCTTTAGACATGTAAAACATCTACGTTTCGCATCATTATTGGGTGCTTTATTAATATAATTGCGAATGTGACGTCATTGCGTGATTACTTAAACGAACTTGTGAACTGAACCAGTTCATTGAATCAAACTGTCCAAAAGAACCAGTTCGCGGAAAAGAATCATATTTCCCCTTTTGCCCGAGGCTCTGTATTACAAAAAATGATGCTGTAAATAATGTTCAGTTTCTTGCACAGACTGATTGTTTTGCTTCGTAAGATCTCAATATAACGTCAGGGGTCACTGTGATTTATTTTGTGTTCCTTGATCTGCTTTTTTTTTACTTAAAAAAATTAGCAGCCGCTGATTTGCATTTTATGAATCACCAAGGAGCACGGTTTCAGCTAAAAATCTTCTTTACTGTTCTACTGATTAAAAAAGTCACCTACATCTTGGATGGCCTGAGGGCGAGTAAATTAACAGCAAATTTTCATTTTTTGGGGGGTGAACTATGCCTTTAATGAATCACAACACAATCCATTATTTGGAGAAATTGATATTTTTTAGCCAAATACGCTACAAAACATCCTTCAACAGGACAGTCACATATTATACCCATGGCAAGGGCTTTTCCGATCAGTGCTGGACACTATAGCAGCTCTGTTCTCTGGTTCTTAGACCGAGACACTGGCGTACCTTCACAAGCTTGAGCAGCTGGTACAGATCCTCCACTTCTTCTCCTTCGGTCTGGCTGTATTCTCTGGCCGTGTGCAGACTGGAGCCCTCAATAGTGCGCCTGTACAGGGGAACATCCATGGCCTCCGCGTACAGACCCACGGCCTGATGACCCACCGTCTGATACATGTAACTGTCCAGCTCATCTGGAACTGACACACCACGCATGCGTTACTGGAGAAAACATCACAACAATCATAGAGTTCACACAAGTCACACGGACATTCATTTTTTAAACACATTTCTGAGTATATACAGTATAAGTTTATATGTATATATCTCATTTCTGAGAAGAAAAAGTCAACTAACACTGAGAAAAAAATATTGTTAGAAAAGAAAGTTGGGTTACACTTTATTTTTAAATGTCCTTGTTAGAGTGTGATTATACATTTAAGTACTGAGTACTATTAATTAACTACATGTACTTACATTAGGATTAAGGTTTGGCTTAGGGGTACTTGCATGTATTAATTAGGCATCATTTATTGTTATTATAATAGTAAGTACATGTAACGTGTAATAAGCATTTTTGTCATTTTTATTCCACAGCGGGGAAAAAATCAGAAATGTCTTTCTTTCTTTTTTTAATCCTGTGGTAGAAACCAGCTTCCATACTTCTGATCACCAAGGCTGCATTTATGTGATCAAAATACAGTAAAATCAGTAATATTGTGAAATATTTTTACTATTTAAAACAGCTGTTTTCTATGTGAATATCTGTTAAACTGTAATGTATTTCTGTGATGTGCAGCTGTATTTTCAGCATCATTACTCCAGTCTTCAGTGTCACATGATCTTCAGAAATCATTCTAATATGCTGATTTGCTGCTCAATTAACAATGGTTCTTTTTAGGGCTGCACGATCAATCGCATGCGATATTTAACGCGCATCTTGTCAGAAAGCCGGTTCTGTAATCAGCGGTAAATCTCCATCACGTGCGTGCTTTCACATTGAGCAGCATTAACTACACAGAGCCGTTGTTCACTGACGAGCTGCGCAAAACCACGTTCATATTCGCGCGATTTTTTGCGCAGCTCGTCAGTGAACAACGGCTCTGTGTAGTTAATGCTGCTCAATGTGAAAGCCCGCAGGTAATGGAGATTTACCGCTGATTACAGAACCGGCTTTCTGACAAGATGCGCGTTAAATATCGCATGCGATTTATCGTGCAGCCCTAGTTCTTTTATATATATTCAACCTCATGATTTACATAAACATACACATTTATAATCAGCTGTTTGGACTCTCATTCTGACGGCACCCATTCACTGCAGAGCATCCATTGCTGAGACACTGATGCAATGCTACATTTCTACAAACCTGATGAAGAAACAAACATGCACATTTTCAGCAAATTATCATTTTTGAGTGAACTTTTCCTTTAATAAAAACTACATGTCAATGATGCTAGAAGCGCAGACGCTCTGAATGACGTCTTTGGTCTTTTCTATAAAGACTGTGGGCATCTCAAAGCTGACACAAACTCATCTTAGTCGCACAAGGACACAAAAACTTTGCACTTAATAAGAAGCTGTGAAATTATGACCCAGACGTCCAGAGAGTCGCGGCAGTCAAGGTTTAGCACACAGACGCCGCGCTCCACATCTATTCATCTTCTTTTAAGAGGACAACAAAACAGCTTCTGTTCGCGGTGACAAGCTCGTGTTGTTGCAGGGACAAATTGCTCCTTAAATTACACTTTGAGCAATTTCGCAGTTTTATAGAAAATATTTTCACCATCACACACGCTGACCTGACAAAGTTATTATTTGTCTTTTTTATTTCACTTCTTTACATCTTATGACAGATGTCCAAAAGCGTGCCTGCTGTGAATTACGGCCTGTTTTAGGCTCTTCTGTGAGGAAAAGCACAGCGTCCTGATGCTCCTGGACCGACTGAACTCTCCCAGGAATAACTTCAGCTTCCTGCAGAATTACAGTATGATTGAGTCATAACTGCGACTCTATTTACATCATCTGACAAGTATTTCCTCTGCAATGGGAGCGCATTTGTAGCCGCACTTAAGGCAGATGTCTGCCAAGCCTCAAAAGTACCACAAAATCCAGATTGTGACGTTCAGAAGGAATCAGTTCAGCTCATAATTCTTCACGCGGCCGCAGACACGCAGCAGATCTGTCTGTTCAGATGCCGTACGTCTTCTGCTTTACAGATCCTCGTGGAGCAGTAAAGCCTGAGTGTTTGGCAGGCCACATGTGTTCAAACACTAGGCAGGACGCTGCATACTCACAATACACTGCAATCACTTACGATCTTTGCTGGAAAAAATCTTTTGCTGTTATGGTTTAAATCACTCACCTGTCTAAATGTTATTTCAATAAACAATAATCTGCAATGTTTAGAACTGTTACCTAATTCAATTAAACGTGTTCATTGTCTGTCAACACACTCGTATCTTTACAGTGCAACATCTCCATGAGTGCTGTACAAAACTCCTGTGCAATATGCAAAATCAAATCACTGATCAACTCACACATATACACATGCATTTGCTAATTCCAAATATATTTATGTAAATATATTTTCTACCAATATATTTGTGGCCATTTTTCAATATTTTTGAAAACATATTAATATATTAAAAATGCCTATATCTCAACATATTAAAACTAAAAATCTAAATATAATTTTTAAAAACTTTTACAAATATATTTTGCCCATCCATATATTTCAGTCCATGAAAGTACATTCACGTATGTCACATTAGAAGGAAATCTTTATTTGTTGTCTGTAACATTTGAATAAAAATCAGCAGGGAACTTTACAATGTTCAAATATAAAGAATTAAAGATGTTAAATCATTATAAATCTAGTTTTAATGTCCAGTAGGAGATTCCAGTTTGCATCATTTTTTTAAAGTTATGACAACTTCTAATGAAATCATGTTCAACCAACAAGCTACACTGAGTTAGAAAACTGAATAATTTGTAACATAAACACATTTTTAAGTTGATTATTCAAAAAAAAAAAATGTTAAGTTGCTCCAACTAATGGATTTGTGAGCCTGGAACCAATTTATATGATCTTTTATCCAATTCAAATCCACAGCTATCATAGCACACGCTTAATATAACTTATTTAGCAGCATGCATATTTAATGAACAATAACAGCATTAAACACTAACAGGTCTTTCACTTCTCTAAAAAACACATAAAATGCACTACATTTATTTTCCTTATCCAGTCCTATGCAAAGCATGCTGGGAGCTAGAAATCCACTACCCAGTTTCCAAAGTTAACAAGACAATTTTATTGAGTTACTTCAACTTAATTTTTTAAAGAAATTCAATTAACGCAGAAATTTGAGTTTAAATTACGCACAATATTAAGTTAATGGAATGATCAACATTATTATATCAACTGAACTCAACAAAATAATGTTTGCAACTTAAAAGGTTTAATTAAATGATTAAATTAGAACTTGCAACCATGCATTTATTTAAGGTCCCCTGAATCATTTTTTAGAGTGATGAGCACAAAAAAGTTTGCACGTGTGCCCTTCAGCTGGCGTATACATAAGCACATCGTCACATCAGTTTTTGCTTTTATAAATATTAATTAGATGAGTAAATGATGCCAGAATGTTCCAGGTGAACCAACCCCTTAAATGTTGCAGATCAGTGTTATGCAATGTGTCACAAATACATTTAGTGACATTTCACCTTGACTGCGTACCATCCAGAAATAACCGGCATCGCTTTCCTGCGGTGATCCTGTGTTTGTGTTACCGTAATACTCATTTAATCCAGCCGCTGGATGAGGAAGCTCCATCCATTTCAAGGCCTCTAAGTGAAGTGGGATGCTGTAATTAGGACGTCTGCTCTCTGATACACAATCCGAGGACGGTTGCTTTCTTGCCCGACAAACACAATCTTAATCCAGGAAATAGCTCGCAATCAGAATATTGGATCTGACATCAGAGGTAGCCACAGAGGCGGTCTTTCCCGAGCTTCAAAGCCTGGGCCGGGCCTGTTAGAGGTTTCTCCTGTGATCAAGTATGACACTCCGCAAACACACAAGCCCCGGCCCTCTCGTGTGCATGCTTTGCTTTTCTTGGATGCCAAGTCAGCTTGTGTGTTGTGAGCGTGTCTGTGTACGTCTGGATGGACTGGGATGATGTAATCGAACGCTCTAATCACAGGCACCTGTTCTGCATTCGGGGCCGCACATGCGTCTGTCGGGGCCCGTGACTACTATAGTGTGGCTCCGTCCCAGCTGCCTTTGGCTGCAATCAAGCCTTCGCTCATATCCCAGTGATCTCGGGTATTTGCACATGATTTAATCTGCTTAAGAAATCTGAATGAGATTAAACTGGAGATATAGAAGGATTTCAGTTACACCTTCTCCACTGAAATGGGTCTGTTTGACTGGTGGATCTATGAACCCGAACTGTTTTTTGTTTATGAATCTATTGATTTAAGAACACTACTGTACTTTTGCAGTGTAGCGTGACTGTAGTTTAACTCTTGTTAGACAGTCTGTGCATTAGTTGCAGGTTGCAACCTTACACCAGTAGGTGGTTAATAACTAAAAGTTATTCATGCATGAAACAAATATCCATATTCTTGTAGCTCGAACAGTAAAGCATAGCATTCGTGATGCCACAATTGCGGGTTCGATTTCCAGGGAATGTATGAACTGATAAAAACGTTACGATCATCTTGAATGCAACGTAAGTCACTTTGAATAATAGCGTCTGCTAAATGTAAATAAAATAACAGCCTGTTTGATCTGAAATACTGTTTCATTCAGAACTAAATGAGTGAGTGAGTCATTGAATCATTCACTAAACCTGTTTGTTCTAAAACACTGGGCCTGTCCAAATACCCACTCTTACGCACACTTAACATGCATCTCGAAGACTGCTCCGAAGCGGTAATCGAGGTTAAGTGTATCCCATCATGCATCATGTTCTGGAAATAAATCGTGAGACTTTTAGCCGAGACGATGCGGAAACCTTTCAAGTGTAAGTTAAATATTAATAATAATTAAATATGATGTATAATTTGGTAGTAAAACATGAAGTGTTGCACATTTTATTGATGCAAAGATGAGTATGTGTAATTTGCAACTGCTTATTCTCACTTAATTAGACGTATCACGATCATTAAATCTGTTATAAAGACTACTGAA